GAGGTATCCTCCCTAGGTCCCTCCCAGCCTGAGAGAGCCTTTCAGAAATCACAAGCAGTGGAAATCCTATAGCTTTAAAGTGTCTTCTGAGGTAATTTCTAATAGTCTCTACTATTTAAAAACCTGCAGTTGAAAATAAAGCATCAAGAATTACAAAGATTGTTGGAAGTCATTTGGATGAAACACATTGCGCATCTGTTTTTCTTAAAGAATGATAAACATCTCTCCTGACATGCTTTTTGTCATTAGTCAAATTCTGGTGTAGCTATGCCAGCAAGCAGTCCTAGAGCCACCGGCACACTCACCAGGATATGCTCAGGGCAGTAGGCGTTCTGCATCGCCAGGCAATTTTGGCCATGAGAGCTACGACCTGACTCTCTTCAGAGTTGATCACTTCTAAATCCACCGTGAAAAAACTCCACTGCTGACTTCACAGTGTGAACGGGCTACTTTATGCAAGTGAAAGGAGACCACCCTCCAAGTTTTTCTTTCCTCTAAAGTTGGCAGCAATTAAGTAGCCATTTCCTCAGCTTTTTGACACAGGGACTGGCCTGGTTGTTCTGCTTTTAATGAAACTCTTGTGGAGTAATAAAGAAAGATATCCGTAATACGGACCAGTATAGACAGGACAGGGCAAAGTCAGAAGAACTTTCCAAATAAAAAGTTCTGGGCAGCCCTATGAGCATTCCCCAGCTAGTCTGTGCTACGAGCTGTTGTAAAGGCATCTTGAGTTTTATTATGCCTAACCTGCAGTAGGCCTCTTACTGGCAATGGCTCTTGGTGCCAGATCCATCAGGAAGCATAGTCTTTTCAGAACTGTTTAGAATTCACAAGACTTCGTTTTGTTTACTGAAAGTACAGCCTTGGTCTCGGCTGCTTGAAATTTGCCATTTGCTGCAGAATTTGTTAACAGGGTGGCACTGGGAGTGCAAAAACTCGGACTCGTAAGATGTTGGTAGGAGCCTTTGATCTCAAAATCCTTCTGCTCCAGACGCAGTGGTAACATAGCAATGACAATGTTTCATTCTTTAGGGCACTCATGAATACAGGGGTGTGATTCGGGCTCTTGTGCCTCAGCGTGGTATAATATTACAGGCTTAACAGCAAGCGCAGTAAAGTTCACTGAAGTGTCGCCATCACCATCAGTGGATTTTGGATTAGGCCGCATAGGTGCAGGCAGCTCATCCTGAGCATAGAAAAGGCAACACAATTTTCTAGAAGCAGGATGAAATAAAGGATAGCTGTAACAGTATATGTAGCTGCAAAGGGAAGTGTAGTCAGCATGGAACCACAGGAAGCTTGTTAAAATTTTGTCATATGTTGGTAATGAAAACATATTGGGCTAATGCAAATATGCAAATATAGTCAGTGGAGCAGAGTTAATCCCTCAAAAAAGTATCAAATATTTTTAAAAATAATTTCTGGCTCTGTGTTCTGACCGTTTGTGTTTGCTTTCCTCAGATATTTTAGCAAACAGGTTTACTCATAGAATTGTTCACATTTTAACCAACTATTGGAGAATACTTGCTAAAAATATATTTTTAGTAAATATTAATAATAATGAATGCATGTGTGTGCTCTAGAAACCAAGTCACAAGGGTCGTGCCAAGTCTGACCAGAGAACCGAAGTAGTGCTAGGTGGTGAATGCCTCCCATGACAACTAGCAAAGGTATCTTTAATTCTGACCATCATCTACCTGCACCAAGCTTGTTATTAGATGGCTGATTATAACAAAAAGTTGTTGTTACCAAACAATTTGGATACACTGGAAGAAACAGGCTATTTGATTCTTACCGTGTTGAGTAAGTATGTGGGAAATAATCAGTCACTAATTCTCACTTAGCTCTGCTCAGCATTAAAGAAGCGAAATACCACAGCGTGTTAATTAAGCACAGGAACCACTACAAGCCACTCTGCACAGTGCGGCAATGGAGCATCCTCCGTTGTTACAAAGCGGGCAGAAATCCTGAGAGGGCACTGGTGGAGCGCAGGGAGGGCAAAGGGAAGCCGGGGCGCCCACCGCCCTCCTGCCGTGCCTTCCCGGCCGCGAGGGCTGCTCCTCGCACCGGGCCCCCGCGAGCGCC